ATTTGCCTATGAACTAATATTGTTCAAGACAGCTGAGTTCCGGGGGATCTACCTGGCCAGGGGACTGAAATTCAACATGTCGAGGTGCAAAGTAATGCACCTTGGGGGAAACAAGCCCAACTCCACAGAGATGGGATCTAGCTCAAGAAGGAGACTGGAGTCGTGGGGCTAAAACTCCAGCTCAGTTCCCAGCAGTGATGAGAAAGACGACTAGGAACTACTAGCACAGGGATAGAAAATAAGACAAAAGTTATCACACCCCCCACATCAATCCCTAGTGCTCCCACCCTTGGAATCCTGTGCCCAGTGCTGGTCGCCCCAGCTCCAAAAGGAGAGAGTGGAGCTGGCAAAGAGTCAGAGAAGGGGAACAAAGATGGTCAAGGGTGTGGAACAGCTTCCCTATGTGGCGAGAGTGCAAAGTTCAGAGCCGTTCAGCTTAGAAAGAGACAAATATGGGGGATGGGCTAGAGACACATACGCCCACAAAGGGTGTGGGACAAGTGACTGGAGACATGTTATTTACCCTTTCCCACAATACAAAAACCAGGGGCCACCCGATGAAATTAAGAAGCTGCAGGTTAATACAAACAAGAGGAAGTACTTCCTCACACAATTAATCTGTGGAACTCCTTGCCAGGGGATGTTGTGAAGGCCAAAAGTATAACTGGATTAAAAAAGAATGAGATAAGTTCACAGAGGCTAGGTCCCTCAATGGCTATTAGCCAGGATGATCAGAGCCACAACCCCATGCTCAGGGTGATCTTAACCTCTGACTGCCAGAAACCAGGAGGAGAAGATGGGATGGATCTCTCCAGAATCGCCCAGTGCAGTGAGCTCTGCCTGAAGCACTGGCCATGTCTCAGGTCATGCTGCAGGGGGCGCCATTAAGGCCTTGCCAACACACAGAAGTGGCATTTGGGCATTCACACCAGGGAAGTGCATTGCATCCCCACACCAGCCCACGGGGTCAACGAGAGCGGGGTGCATTGCTCATTTCCGCTGTCATGTATTGCGGGATCCCAGCTCTGTGGTGTGGGGTTCCCATTGGTGGCACAGGGGATGCTGGGAGCGGGAGGTTCAAACACCCATAACCCACTGGGCCAATGGCAGGAACGTTGGTGTCAGCCCTGTGGCTTTGGCACAGTTACACCTGAGATGGGGCAAATCTGTCACTGGTGCCAAATCCACTGATCCCCAGGCTGTTGCACTTGGGATCGCCCTGCCCCAGCGTGACGGTTGTTTACCGTTTAATTACCTAATGGGAAGTGGGCTCTAACGAGGCCTCTCAGCTCCTGGGGGCCGGGGAGGTGGCTGAGGAGTTGCACACTTCCCTTCTTACGCCGTGATGGCGCAGCTGTTGCACAGCTCCTGCAGGGGCTGGCACAGGGCTCCGCGCTGGGAAGGTGGGTGGGGTGGGAACCGGTGCCCGGATTGTCTACAGCTGGTCTCAGTCAGCCTGGGCCGGCTTTCAGGCTCATGGAGCTGGGGCCAAGGCTTCAGCTTTCGTTACACAGTAATTAAGGCTCTAGCCGTGGTGCTGTAAAGAGCTGGCAGAAGGTGACTTGAGCAGAACTGATGCAGCCATGGGTCCCTGAGTCTGCAGGCAGCTACTGTGCAGGCCCCATTCCCCTCCCCCCGTGTTAACTCTGAAACCTAATGTTCACAGTGTAATTGGAGCTGTTCACTAGTTCACTGTAGATCGAATTCCATGACATGGGGGGGGGCTGATGATAGCAGCAAGAGCTGGGCACAGGCTAGGCCAGTGGCAGCTCAGGCTGGCAGCTTGGGTGTGTGGCACCTGATCAGTGATGAGACCTGGTCTATGGGTGACGCTGACAAGCATGCACACACACACACACACACCTGCGTCCCATTCCCCAGGGCTCCAGGCAGCAGATTTCCACATGAGGCAGCACCAGCTGAGTGACAAGGAATGGTCAGGTGCTGGCCCAGGCCCAGAATGTGCCAGTCCCACCCACTGGCTCGCAGCATGAGATGGGGGTGTGCAGGGCAGATGGGCTGTGGTGGGGAGCCTGCCGGGTCAGGGGGGGACTTGGAGGTATTGGAGTCTGTTGTTAGCTGCTCCCTTCTCCTGGGCCCAGGGAAGAGTTGAGGGGAGGGGGGCAGGGTTGTGGCTGGGGTAACTGGGATGCGGGGGGAGGGGCACTGAACAAAGTGCCCAGGACTTTGCCCATTTCAGGGTGTAACTGCATGGGGGCGGGTAGATCCGGGGGTGGATCGAGTGAGGGAGGCCAGGGCCAGTGCTGGGGCTGCAGAGGGGATAGATCAGGGGGTGGGGGTGGGAATCGTGCTGGCACTGAAGGGGGTAGACACAGCGGGGATGGGGTGGCAGAGCTGGGCTGCAGCAGTGTAAACCCAGCTGAATAGTGCTGGCGCCAGTCCCTTTGGCTCATCGCATCTCTGCCCTGGCAGGGACCAGGTGGCACCGGCCTCCCCAGCCCTGAGGCGCTGCAGCCAGTGCCTGCGGCTGGGAGCCACCTGGCAGTGCCCACACGGCGGCAGATGCTCCCACCATCCTCCCAGTGGCCAGGAGCTGCCAACCCCCCTCTACTCCCTGCCTCCCTGAGCCATCAGACAAGGCCTCAGCCCAGCCTCCGTGGCACCCGCCCAGAGCTGAGGCCCAAGCAGGGAACGCGAGCTGTTCCCCACACACTGCACATTGTCTGTGCCACCCACCCCGGCTGCCCGGGCCGGCTCTGGCACAGAAGCCAGCGTCTCAGTGCTGTGGGCAGCTGCTTAGGGGAACACAGAGCTCCCACAGCCCCATCCAGGAGCGGAAGCCCAGCCTCGGAGCCAGCTGCCCCACTAGCAGATCATGCCTGGTATCCTGGCTCCCACAGCAGCCAGTTCCAGCTGCTGCTGAGGAACGGGCAGGAAGCCCATGGCCTAGGGCCATTGTGGTGTCACCTGCCTATGGAGGGGGTTTCGCCACATCCCACCAGCCGGGGGCTAGCTCATATCCTGAGGCAGGACTCAGCCTAACAGGTTAGAAGTCTCTGAGGTCCCCCCAGCAGCTCTCATCACCAGCCCAATGTCTCAGCCTGCCCGCAAACGCTGCTGAGCTTCTGGCCTCAGGGACACCCTGGGGCAGGGAGTTCCACATGTTAACACATGCTGGTGTGAAACAGAACAGAGCCATGGCAGGGGAGCAGAGGGCATGGCCCAGCCACAAAAGGGTCCATCTGCTCACGGACACGCCCGGTCCTCAAGATCTCTGACCAGCCAATGGAAGTTTGTGCCAGTGATGGAATTGCTTCTAGCTGGTGTCTCATTAGCTGAACAGGTTGCTACCTCTAGGAGGAGCTTGTTTAATTTTTCACATTTGTTTGGTTCTTTTAAGTATCCCTCATTGGATTTGAGCTCTTGATCAAACATTAAAACCAACAGCTGTTACTGCCCTCTGCTGGGTGGAATCAGGTCTGCTCTCCTGTGTGTCATAGCCCCAAAGGGCTAAATGGGATTCTCCAATAGCCAACTGAGGCAGAGAGGCAGCCACATCTCTCTGCTCAGCAGAATCTGGTTACCCCTGGCCAGGGGATTGTCCAGGAATGACTCCTGGGAGGGTGCTGCATGGGGAATCGGTGACGGTACCTTCTAGTGGCTGAGCCCAGAGTGGACAAGGGGCCAGCAAAAGGCAAGGCTCCTGAAGCTCAAGTGCTAGGGGCCTGGGCTTTGGGCCAAGGGATCCCCTCTCCCTGTGTGTGTGTGGGGGGGGGGAAGGTCACCCAGTAATCTCCCCTCCATTGGCTACAGCATGTGGCCCCTGGGCAGTCAGGGCAACGTCAGCCTTCACCAGCTGCCCTTGCCAACTTCACCCACATGGGCACTGGTGACAGCCTCGGGCACTGGCTGCAGCCCCACAGGGCTGGGGGGACCCAGTGCCATGGGTGATGTGTCCCGCAGCACCCCCCCCATCCCCACCATGGGATCAGCCCATTCACAGGGGATGGAATAGCATCGGTTATGCTTTCTGTATAGGAAATGCTAAGGTGGGGAGAAGCAGCATGGGCAGGGATAGCTCCGAAATCTGCCTCCTCCAACCTCCGGCCCCATCTTCACCACAAAGCGGCTGGAGGAAGGGGACACTTGCTGGTGCTGGTCACCACGGCCCCCTCCCAGCCTGGCCTGTGCCCAAGCAGATGCTTTACGTCTCTCCGGCAGCGGGAATCAGGGACAACAAAGAGCAATAACCTGCTGTCTGTGGGAGGGGCTTCAGCCCATGCGAGGGGTTGGGGTGGGGCAGGGCCGGGTCCTCACTTCATACAGGTGTCATATCCCACAGGGCGGGGCTGTGGTGAACACTAAGGGGGCTCCTCAACAAGGCACAGACAAACGCTGGGGGTCTCTCTCTAGTTCTCCGCCTGCACTGTCACCATTGAGATTCTGCCTTGGGTCAAGCAGTCCCAGGAGGGAACGCTGCGCCCTGCCCCACATGCTAGCCCCAGCCCCTAGCCCTAGCCCTCCCCCAGCTCTCACAACCAAGCTGCTGCCACGTTTGTGCCAAGAGACATGGGCAGGATCCCTGGGTTCTCTTCCTGGCTCTGGCACGGCCTTGGCAAGCCACTTCCATGCCCCAGTTTCAGGGAGTGCAGCATGGCAGATCCTCACCTGGGAGGGGCCCTGGAAAGAGCTGGGGGCAGGGCTGGCTGCCGGGCGAATCCTGCACTCTCAGCACAAGAGGGTGAGGGGCTGAGGGTTACAAGTTGGTCACGGCCTGGAACGAAGGACCACCACAAACATCCCTCCCACCTCCCGCTCCCCGGGCCAGCACACTGCCAGCCTGTGCAGTCCCAGCCTCTCCCAGCAGGGGGCACTGTGGGGAGCAGGCGAGCAGCACAGGCTGGTGCAGGGATCCCAGCTACTCCAGACCCAGCCTCTCCCAGCAGGGGCCACTGTGGGGAGAGATTCCACCGGGACTCAGCAGACAGAACAGAGCAGAGGCGGAGGCTGGTTCCTTCCAATAAATCTCTATTCTCCAGTGAGGTATAAATACATTTATTATAGGGAGCGCAGCCTGCGTCTCTGGGGGGCGAGGGGGGGGTATCAGGAAGACTTGGCCTCCCACTCCAGGGTCGGGGGGGAGGGAGGCTCTGTAACTACTTCTACTGCTCGGCACAGGGGACCCCCCCCCCCGGTCCGATGGGGGAGCCTGGTCATAAGAACCTAAGATCCACATACACAGCCAAACTCAGGGCATGTGGGGAGGGGGCGGGGTGATTGAGGCTGCAACAAGCTCTGCTCACCCCTCCCTGCCCCCCAGTCGACAGGGCATCCGCCAGCTCCCAGCTGCTCCCCTTGGCAGAGTCTCCCCCTGCAGGCAAGAGGGGGTTACTGCACCCCCAAGAGCACCTGCCTGTCCAGGCAGGACAGGGGGTGCACAGACTATTGGGGTGCCATGGGGTGGCGGCAGCTATGAGAACCTAGGGTGTGAAGCCCATGAGCCCCTGGCCTGGACAGACAGAGGTTGCTGACAAATCCCCTGCCCCCTCCTGCAGGGATCTCTCCTCTCGTTATTTATTAAGGCAAAAGGTAGATCGCTCCTTGCGGGGCTGCGTCTGGCTCAGGACAGAGCAGCCCTTGCCCACGCCCAGCTCTGCCACAGAAAGGGCACGTGCGGGGAGAGGGGGGCGGGAGAGCATTCCCCAGATCCAAGCCCATCACCCTAGCCCCAGGAGCGCCTTCTCCCTCAGCTGGACGAGAGCCAGCCACACTGGGCAGAGGGCACAACCCCGCCCCGTGGAGCCGAGTTGGGGGGCCACGGCCATGGGCGGCAGATCTAGCTCCGTTGGCCACATGGAGAGGGGCTGGGAGCTGCTCCCGCATGGCTTGGCTCTGCCAGCCTGGGAACACCGATGGGGGTGCCCGGGAAAGGGTGACAGAGGGCTTGGGGGAAGGGAGCTGGGCAGAGCCAGAGGGAGCAGGGGAGTTCCCCTCAGGGGGCTACAGTCCCCAAGGAGCTTTCATGGAGGCAATGGGGGTCAGGGTACGAGTGCCCTCCCCCTCCTGGCATAGGGAGGGGCAGCCTCAGGGGGCTGACAGGAGGCGTTGCCCCCCCCCCAGCCCAGCGACCCTCAGGCAGTGGGGACAGGGAAGCTGTGGAGTGGGGGAAGAGGAAGAGGCTGCGGGGCGTAGCCTATGTGGGGATGACGTTGGTGGCGAAGAGTATGATGAGGATGACGATGATGGCCACAATGACGCAGATGATGGCGATCATCTTGACGTTCTTCCACCAGTACTTGCGGGCCACCTTCTGCGAGGTCGTCTTGAAGTGCTCAGACTGGTGGGAGATATGGGGGAGTTAGCACTGTGCTGACCCAGAGCCTCCAGCCCCTGCCTGGCTTGGCCCTAGGCAGCTGGACAGCCCCCCACCTGCCGGGGGCAGCTCTAACCAGAGGGATTGGGGGGGGGGGACATCCGCACCCCCTCAGGGCGAGGCTGCACCTGGACACAGACTCACTGGGCTGGCAGATCGGACCAGCACTGACCTTCATCCATATCTACACAGGCCACCCCAGTTCGGTGCTGGGTTACCAGACGCACCCACCGTCAGAGCCAGCACTGGGGGGGTTCACCGGGGCATTTCCTCCCGCTGCAACTACACCGGGCCCGTGGTGGGCCTGGGCTCTCCAGCGTGGCGGATAGAAATCCAGTTTCCACCGCTTTAACTCACATGGGCAGATCTGCAGGCACGAGCAATGGCAGCAGGCGGGTCCACATGCGGGTGCTGCCCCAGCTCCGCTCCTCCAAGCCAAACCGGCGCCGGGGAGCTATGGGCACGTTATTCCAGAGCTGACCACCAGAGGGTGCTTGTGTTTCCCTCGGCAGCTGCTGGCACGGGCCCGGGCTGAGTGCTGAGAGCCTCAGATAAGCAGCGCCAGCGCGGGACAAAGGGCAGCGCAGGGACAGCGCCTCGCTGGCTGCCAGGGTTTATCAGGGGCTGAGCAAACAGCCCCGCCCCGCGGGGAGCGGGCGTCATGCAATGCACGTGGGCAGGGACCAGAGGACTGGCAGGATCCGAACTAGAGTGAGACGTCACTCGCCCACCCCCGCCGAGCAGCCCTGTGCCTGCTTGGCACCGTCTCCACGGCGGCAGCATGCCCAGCTGAGCCTGTTGGGGCAGCAGCGGAGCCCCCACAGCGAGGTTAGGGGTCACGGCAGTGCCCAGGCCTGTCTTAGCTTGGGTGGCACCAGAACCAGGGGCACCCAGTGCCAGGCCTTTGCCCCAAACCCCCTATCGGGCTCCGGCCCCCACCCCCTGGAAATCAACTCCAGACTTGGGGTCCCCATGACCTCACCAGGAACCTCATGAGCACAGGGTCGGGGTCTCCCCCAGCCTGCTGCTCCCCGGTCCCCACCCCCACCAGGGCTCACCGTCGCCTCCAGGTCCTCGGTCTTGTTCCGCAGGTGGTCCAGGTTCTCGCCCCGCGCCAGGATCCGCTCCACGTTCTGCGACATGATGTTTTTCACCCCCTCCACCTCGCTCTGCAGGTTCTTCACCCGGTCGGTCGCCATCCCGCTGCCAGCAGTGCCCTCCTGTAGGGAGAGCGCCCGCCAGGGGTCAACAGGAGAGTGGCTGTGGGAGCAGGACACTTGGCCCAGGCAAAGCCTCTGGGGGCCCAGAGAACGGAGGTCCAAAGGCAAAAGGGGGAGGGGCCCTCGAGAAGGGGCCCAGCTGCAGCCCTGTCCCTCTGAGGAGCTCAGAATGCTTCACAGACTCTGTTCGAGCCCACAGCCTACCACAGGAGAACAATCTTGTGCGGAAACTGAGGCAGCTGACATAGCAAACCCAAAGGCAGGGGCAGAACCAGGAATAGAACCCAGGAGTCCTGTCTCCCAGCATCCCCACGCAGCACTAGGAATAGAAGCAGGTGTCCTGGCTCCCAGCCCCCTGCTCTAACCACTGGACCACAGCACTTCAGCCAGCATAAGGAAGGGAGAGGAGACAGCTGGGGAAGGAGGGTGCCCGGCCCAAGGCCAGGGGGATCCAGGACACCGAGGCAGAGCTGTGGGCACAGAGGCTGAGGGAGGTCCCACGGGGCAGGACTGGGCTGGGGGGAGCTCTCTGGGAGATGGAGCAGAGCACCCCCAGGGTGATTGCCCTTCCCCTCCTCCCCCCAACACTTATCACTGCGGAATGTCAACAGGGAACTTCCAGCGCCCTTGTCACATCTCCACCGCCAGCCGGACTCGCCCAGCCGGTCGGGTCGGTCCCAGCAATCTCCCCTCCTGCAGTTCTGCCCTCTGCCTGCAGGGGGCACGGGGCAGCAGGTGTGACACCGCCAGCCCAGGGGGGCCCAGGGCAGAGCCCTCTGCAGGGGTGGAGAGGGGTGCTGTCTCCAAAGCTCTGCTTGGTCCTTGCCTCCTGCGGAGAAGAGACCCAGCAAACTCAGCCCACCCAGGGACCTGCGACAGCCCCAGGATGGAAGCACCCCCTGAGCCTGAGACACCCCCCGGGGGGGGGGGCAGGGTCAGAGCCACCCCCTCGTCTCCTCCCCCTCCTGCTGAGCCTAGTCCAAGCGGCTGGGCTGGTCAGACCCAGGCATGTCGGGCTGGGCGGGTCCCAGGCCGGAATCTCAGAAACGCTGCCCTGGGCCAGCGCCCAAAGTACGTCAGGCACCAGGGAGCAGAGCCAGCCCAGGGCAGCACTGCCCAGTGCGGGCCAGAGGGAGCCCCATGGGAGCCCCAGGGTCTGTCTGAGTCCAGCAGCCCGCAGAGAGACTCCCCTTTAGACTGGCCCTGGCAGGCAGCACGACTGACACCTCCCCTTTCCGGCCGTTCATAGCAGCTCACCCAGGACCCCCCTCAACCCCCCACACCTGCTGCATTTAGCCCCCACCATGCCGATCCCCCAAATCTGACCCTGTTTTTAACCCAGGACAGGTCCAGAGGTGGCCAACATGACTAACGGGGGGTGCAGAGACCCCCACCCCATCCCTGGGGAGGTGGAACCCCAGGCCCCCAGCAGGAAGCAGACAGCAGAGGGCCCAGAGCACCCCTCCATTCCCACTGCGTGGCCCCTTTAAGGGAAACCTCCCCAAATCCCTACCGCACCCCTCACTGCCAGGGCACCTTGGCAACACCTGGGGCGCCAGAGCTCCTTCCCTTAACCCTTCAGATCCCAGGCAGCTTCCCACCCCCCCCCCCGGGGGCTCTGAACTGGGGTGTCCTGCCAGGAATTAACCCCTTCTCTCCTGACTCAGGTGAATTAGTGACCCCAAATGCAGGGAGCTGGACGTGCCAGCGAGCCTGGGCTGGGGGGGACGGGGACGTTAATCTTTTGCCTTCTGCCCATTTGCTTTGCAGCTGCTCACAGACAGCTCAGATGGACAGACCATGGCTCAGAGCCTCTGTCCCCCTCAATGGGGGATCACGGCTAGGGGGGCCTCAGCAGCACCAGTCCTTTGGCAACCGCCCCCTAAAGACCGCCCCCTAAAGACCCCCCAACCCCCAGCCCCCTGCATCTTCCCAGCCCCCGCCAGCCCCACACAGCAGGTAGCTCAGGCCAGGAGCCCCCTTTTAGACCCAGCCCAGCTGTAAAGGCTGTATGGCCTCCATCCACTCCACCCGCCAATGCTGCCCCCAAACGCCCACTGAGCCATCTCCCCTCCCCAACATCCCACCCTGGCCCCAAAACAGCTCTGCAGTTCCAGGGGCCTGTCCCCCACCTGTGCCCGGCTCCGGCTGCAGAACAGGGCTTGGGCACTGCAGTACCCCGAGGGCGCAGGAACCGTTAGGCCGCCCACTTCCTCTTTCTAGGCAGCTCTGCAGGGAGTGGGGGGGGGGGGGGCTGATGAGACCCAGCGTCCTGGGCGGGGGGAGAAAAAAAGAGAGGGCCATGCAGCTCAGAGCCTGTGGATCCAT